CCCGTGGCTTAGCGGTTAAGTGCGCGCGCTCTGGTGCTGGCGGCCTGGGTTCGGATCCCGGGCATGCACCAACACACCACTTCTCCGGCCATGCTGAGGCCGCGTCCCACATACAGCAACTAGAAGGATGTGCAGCTATGACATACAACTATCTACTGGGGCCTTGGGGGAAAAAATAAATAAATAAATAAAATTATTCAAATACAGTCTGACTCTGAGCCCCATCCCATCCAATGTCTGCCATGAGAGAGGCTCTGTCACCTATTCTGGGTCTCACAGAATCCTAGAGGCAAGTCTGGGGGGCAATGAGGGCTGGGCTGGGCTGGGCTGGGCTGGGCTGCTAATATCCTTAAGTTGAAACCTCTAGAAAGAGGCAACTGCAGGCTCAGGAGCCAGGCCTCCCGTGTGGGCTGCGGGCCCATCTCAGAGCTCGAGCCTCATCTAGGCCTGGGGCACAGTCCCCACAGTCTGGGAGACCCAGGCTCCTTCCTACCCTCTCTCTTAGGGCCTCAAAGGCACTGGCTCCCTCCCCTCCCCCAAGCTGAATCCCGTGGAGCAGATGATGCTTCTGGAAAACAAAAGGGAGGTTGTCCGTGTTGCTCCTACTTCCTACTGGGTAACTCAAACCCTCCAAGGCAAAGGAGCACAAAGGCCTTGCTATTTGCTGGGAACGGGAAGTGGAGTGGGGCCTGCATGACCTGCACATGCGTTTTAGAACCATCACTCTGGCTGCAGCGTGGAGTACATAAGTTAGGAGGGCAGGAAATAATACAATCGTTTTTGCCATAAAGATGTTTCATGGTGACTGTGTCTAACTTCAGTGGCTATCTTCAATCAAAAGAGAGAATTTCTGTCAGCCTGGATTGGGAAGGGTTCTGCACTTTTCCAGGCTTCATTCAGCGAGTCACAGCACCACTATCCAAGGACAGAAATCTTTTCTCTGCTTCCGCAGTGAAAACTCCCATCTCAAAAGCAGGACGTTGGAGTTGTTGCTGAGTCCATCCTTCAAGCACAGACTTCAAAATAAAAGGATCTAAAATCAATGGTTTTAATTGTTAGGAAAAGTCTAAAAGGTCTGAGAGTCATAACTCCTAACACCTCAAGCTAATGGCGTGTCTGCTGACTTAATGAACTCAAAACATGCCAGGTGTGGAGCAGCCCGATGGGGCTGGCTGCCCCATGGCCCACCTGCTGTCTGGTCCCTGCTGACTTCTCCAGCTTAGAGATACTCTGCATTTTCAGATTGACCTGTCTGTCTCTTAGCTCCACATGACTGCCTGCCACTGGACACCTTCAGCAAAAGAACAACTTGCCTAATCAAATGTAGTCTCTTTCTTGAAACTAATTCTACCCTGGAATTCCTCACATCTGTCACTCCCTGAAGTCACTCAAAGCTGGCAACCTGTCCTCTTGTTTCCCTCTCTAGATCTCCCATCTACCAGGCTGTCAAAACGCAGATTCTGTGAAATAAAGTCATTTTATCATGAGTGTACAGCCTGTGGCCCTCAATTCTAACAACGCTGTCCTCGGAGAATCACTGCAGGAGGGCTGGGCGTGTTATTTTCCTGCCTCCATCTCTGTCACTCCTTCAACCATCAGACAGTTCTCGTGAGGCTGGTTGGCATCACTAGGCCCACAGAGCAAGGAGAATGGCTACTTCATTTCAAAGTTTTCCTCATATTGGAATAAAGCGTATTTTGAAAAGCAGAGAGCAAACTCGTTCTCTGTTTCAAGAGAATCTGTAGGGACATCCAGAGAGAAAGGGACATGCTCCGGCTGATCCCTTAAACAGTAACTTCACTAGAAAGAAACGTCAAACTTATCTTGGTGTTCTGTGCTCAAGTTCACAAAAAACATGACATCCTCATTTCAATTTTTTATTAAAATACTTTTTTGTTTATAGGGACAACCAAAGAAAAAATACATAATTTTATGTTGTAGATCATGAAAAATACAATAAACATAGACTCTTGGGAACACATAGTAGATTTTAAAAATCTTCAAAGAAGTTTTCACAAAAACAAACTTTAAATATGTGGCTTATTTATATATTTACCTCATTTTTCAGAAGCTTTAGTTTCTTTTCTCCATTTTGATGCTGCTCTGATATATAATCATTCAAATATTCTAACATCTTATCAATTTTGTTTTCTGAAACTTTAGAAATCATATTTCTAAATGAAGGTCTCTCTTTTATAGCATTCTCTGTAAATAAGACTTATTTTATTTGAATTATCATTTGAATTGGTGCCACTACAGTTTTAGTAATAATTAGATGTTGCAGTGTGGGGGGGGAGAGGGACAGATGAGACATACAGAAAACTTGCTAGCAAGGACATATCTGACTAAAGGAAAGAACTTTATATATATGGCTTTTATAATACTGATTTAAACTTAGTGTTTTTTTGACCTAGTTATAAAAAAGGTAACAACCTAATTTTTGATTTAAAAAAAAAAGAATTTTTACCAGAGCTTCAATATAAAAGTGAACTGTGTTTAGAAGGGTAATAGGTGGTCTAAATTTTAGTGGAGCTACTGGCTTCCCAAATGTTATACTTTTTATTTGAAAAAAATATTACTTTCAAAATCTGAAATATATTATAGAACTGCAAATAGAACCTTTTAAGTGAACTCTTTCTCTTAACCCCTTCATAAACCAGAAAAATTAAGCAAAATTTGAATATAAAAGTACCATTACACTTAGGGATAATTTCTGTTGGGAGAAAAAGAGGTAAGAAAAATCAGTTAAAACATAACATGGGGGCCTGCCCGGTGGGCAAGTGGTCGGGTGTGCGCGATCCGCTGCGGCGGCCCGGAGTTTGCCAGTTCGGGTCCCAGGCGCGCACCGACGCACCACTTGGCAAGCCATGCTGTGGCAGCGTTCCATATAAAGTGGAGGAAGATAGGCATGGATGTTAGCCCAGGGCTGGTTTTCCTCAGCAAAAAAAAAAAGGAGAATTGGCAGATGTTAGCACAGGGCTGATCTTCCTCACAAAAAAAACAAAACAAACAAAAAAAAACATAACATGGTTCAAGAAATTATCCTCCCAATGTAGGGGCAGAAGAGATACTACATTTTAAAATTTAATAATGAAGACCTAAAAAAGATGATAAATGCAGTTAAAAAAGTTTGTTGAGGGGCTGGCCTGGTGGCGTAGTGGTTAAGTTCTCGCACTGCACTTCGGCGGCTTGGGGTTCACGGGTTTGGATCCCCGGGGCGAACCTATGAACTGCTTATCAAGCCATGCTGTGGCAGGCATCTCACATATCAAGTAGAGGAAGATGGGCACGGATGTTAGCCCAGGGCCAATGTTCCTCAGCAAAAAGAGGTGGGTTGGCAACAGATGTTAGCTCAGGGCTAATCTTCCTCACTAAAAAAAAAAAAAAAGTTTGTTGACATAATTAAGGAAACATTAAGTATGTTGTCAATAAACAAAAAAGCATTCCTCTATTCATAGTATGAAATTACTTTGAAAAACAGCAAATTTGAAATGAAGCAGCTGGCTGCAGATCCGTTAAAACTTTCTCTTTCTTAAGTTCAAGAAAACCTTCAGCCTTATAGGTATTAATGAAGAAGGGGAGCCAAAATGTTTTCAAGGCACTTTTAAACAGAGGCATTCTAGGTAAAAGTAAGAAAAGGATATCCCAATGTTTTCCTATTAAAAAAGAATACACCCATGAGCTAAATTTCAACTTTCTAAAAAGATAAAGTACCTTGGGTATTCATTAGAGTTATCTGAAAGGACAGAAAAGGTATCAAGGCTTTAAATTTTATGATAGTTAATCATAATATTACATATGATCTTGTAACTAACTACTGTTCAGATAATGAATACAAACTGTCTAAGAGCATTACCTATTTCTATATACTAAAGTATTTAGACATACAAAGAAGTATTCCTAAAAAGTTACTTGTAATTCAAATATGTACTATTTAAGAAAAATAATTTTGTAAAGTTAAGAGCCTTTGTAATATAAATATTTATGTTTTAGATTCAAGCGTGAAGATTGGGATTTTATTACTATGAAGGGCACATGGTATTTAAGCTTATTTTTACTTAAATATTATATAAAAAGCTGACAAAATACTCTGTAGTGTATTTGGAGTTAACATCATCTTGAACAGAGATTTTTTTTTGGATTTCATAATCTTAACCTCCTACTATATGATTACACTTGCTTAATAAGAATATTTGATCCAGATATAAACCTAAAAGAAAGATTACAAAACAACAAAATAATTAATGGAAATAGTTTTAGGTGTTTCCCCTTAGCATCCCCAGCATTTTCAGCCCTCCCTGTTCACACCTGTAAATTCTCCTCTCTAAGCCCTCCTGTCTCTCATCTACTGGAGAACACGGCTCTGCCTGCACGGAGGCTGAGCGGCTCATTCTCTCCGTCCCATGTGCGTGGCTTCACCTTTCAGCCTCGACATTTCTGTACAAGGGGACAAGTTGTGTCCCTGGTGCTCTATGAGGACCCTGATTTGGCAGTTGTTTCCCATTCTTAGTGCTCTCTAGGCTTGTACCTTAAGTCAGAGAAATGCTTTAACTTCCTAATTATTTACCCGAGCAGAGTATTTCACACAGTCTCATAGATGTGCCCTGAAATTCTCGGTCAAGATTCTTCATCACTACCCCCACCAGCACTCTGGGCAGGGGGATGGAAGAGGAGCAACTTTCCCTAAAGCTTTGCCAACATGTGTATTATAGGATGGATTCTACTATATAAGAGTTTTAAATTGTAAAATATAGTAAGCATTTACTTTCTAACACCAACAGAAAAAGGTTTGAAATTAAGCCTTTTATGGTAATTTTTATGTGAGTTCTCAGGGTGATATATCTGAATATCTACCCTATTTATAGACCAGATAAACAATACAAGACACAGTGAAAAATGGCATCCAACTGTAAAACCTCAGTGTCCTAGGCGTAGTACACGAAGAAATCACAACTTATGTTAACATGCTCTAAAGCTTTCAAAACAAAAGGCTTTTGGAATGCTAGAAGAAAATGACATCAGGCTTTATATTAGAAATCTCATATCTTTCAAGGAATTCTCTGTGCACTTGCTTCTCATATCACCCAAGTTGTACATGTATTTAGAGGAAAGGGCTTATTGTTAGTGGACAGTAAAATCAAACAGAGCAGTTATAATCATAATTTAACACATTACCGCATTTGTCATACTTTAAAAGTAATTCAGTCCAAATGCTTTACATCTCCTTAACCTGCTGGCGTTCTGGTGCAACCAGTAGACCTCAATGAATAGCTTTTTACGCCTTTCTCTTCGACTAAATTGCTTTGATTTGCATTTCTTTTCCTTCTTTAAAACATGCAGTTCATACATTTGACAGTTTTACTACCATAGTCGATGCATTCTGGACCAATGCACTCACAGCAGGCATTATGGAACCAGCGATATTTGGATGCCCCCATGGACTCACAGGATATCTTACACTGATGTATGGACATGCAGTCATCAAAATAAACCACAGTACACATGTGTTCTGAAAAACAAAAAATTTAAATTTCAGAGCAAGAAAGAGGAACAGCAGGAAATACTTTAATACCTAGCTGAATATTATTAACAGTTATTTATCTTAGTTAGCTTATTGCTAGTCTGCACAGGACAACAGATAAGGTATAAGAAAAAAGATCACATTTGTTAACTCTATTGAGAAGGAAGCCAGAGTCTCCCACTCCAGCTGAAGAAGGAAAAGGGCTTCCTTAGTCACTTTATCAGATTTCAGACTTTGATCTGAAAGTTAGATTACTGGGCTTAACAACATTTGCTGTGCTTCAGAGCTGTGCTTTTTAAACTAGGCATTTCTGATAAGATTTCCTACGAGGAGAGAATTTTCCAGCTAAAAGAAGTTCGAAAAATACTATTCTGAAGTTATACTGAGAATTTATAAAAAAATAAAACACACAAGTAATTCAAATGATGCAATGTGGTTAGCAGTGCTTGGCACAATTCAGCATTAGCTATTAGAAAATTATTATTAACAGCAATTTCTAGTCCTACTTTCCAAGGTAATCACTTTTGATTGTTTCAATTTTTAGTTCTCCTGGTGGTTAACCCCACATAACTACCTAGCTAGGAGGATAGGGTACATGAAACAAATAAAGGACAATAAAAACCATTAATAGAGAGTATCTGATTACAGGCTAAGATATTTTACAAAGCCATTTACAGAAGTGATAAATCACCAGGGGTCTGATAGTAAGAGAACGCTTAATGGAAAAAACTGGACTTGTAGTAGGAAGATTTAAAAGCAAAGCTATTAGGAAACAAAGTAAGGAAGGTCACACAGAGATAGGTGTAGCGTGCACAGGGATAGAGTGGAGGCAAGTTGACTGCAGTGGATGGTTGGCATCAGGAGATGCCATTGAGTGTACAAGACGGGATCTGGTTACAGAGGGAAATAGGCGAGGCCAGCACAGCACTGGACCAAGGAGACCAGAGGGTTAGCAGTGAGCAGGACAGGGGAGAATTTGAATCTCCAAGTGATTGGTACTTCATTTATTTATTTATTTATTTATTTTTTTTAAAGATTTTATTTATTTATTTTTCCCCCAAAGCCCCAGTAGATAGTTGTATGTCGTAGTTGCACATCCTTCTAGTTGCTGTATGTGGGACGCGGCCTCAGCATGGCCGGAGAAGCGGTGCGTCGGTGCTCGCCCGGGATCCAAACCCGGGCCGCCAACAGCGGAGCGCGCGCACTTAACCGCTAAGCCACGGGGCCGGCCCCAGTTCATTTATTTATTCAACAAGTATTTATCGAACACCTACTAGGGAACAGCCATTAGGGACTCTAAGAGTAATCAAGAATCCAAAGAACTAAGTAGAAATTGGTAGACCTATAAGTTAAAAACAGACAACAAATCGAACACAAATGTGAGAGGAGTAGGAAGGGGTTAACTCCACCGGGGGAAGGGGCAGCTAGGGAAGGGGTCACAGAAGAGAAACTTTAGCTGTCTTGAAGGATAGTTGGTGTTCCCAGGAATTAGCTTTCTGATTATTATTTCATGAATTTAAATAATCTTTAAGAAAAATTTATGAATTATTATTTAATATTATATTGATTATTTACATTTTAATAACTGGGAAAATGGTAGCAAGACACATTCCATACATTTCTGATGTTTTCCAGGTTCTAGAATTTGTCTTATAAAGCACTTTAACCTAAAAGGAAATGAGAAGTCTTACTCACTGTCATTAGTCAGTATCATTAATAAAAGCTGTTTTGCTTTTACGATTGATGGCCAAAGTTCATACTATTTTAGATAGGCAGAATTGTAATGGAAGGCCCAAAAAAAAGCCAAATAAAAAAGAGTACAAATTATACTGCTCATGCATAATTCATGTCATATTTTAAGAAATAACTGCAATTTTCATAATTGCCTTATTCTTTCACAGTAAAATTGTATAGAGTCTTTTATTTGAAAATATCACAGACTTTACAAAAGTTATATTCCAAAATTAAGGTATGACCTATCCTTATTAATACGCTTTATTAGTGAAGATATCACCTATCCTTTAACATGCTTCTCAAAGTTATATAAGGCATTCCCTCATTTAGTTCTCCTTCTGACCAACAGCACTCATTTACAGAGAACTGGCTTGGGTTAATTTATACCTGGAAATTAGATATCTGTAATACCAACGTGCTCATAAATAAATTTAGCTGATGATCTTATCATCATTTGCGGTACCAATGCTATTATAAAAACCTGATTTCCTAGGACACTCTGAATGTTACCTGATGGTAGGCAATACTGTATTAGATAAGCAAGACTGTTGCTATCTTATGAAAAGAACAATTAACGCCTACTGTAAATAAATATCAAAATTAGGACCAGGTTATCTATTTTCCAGCATAGACTCTATCACCGAGAATATGAAGGAATTGCGACAATATGCTTTCATGACTCCTTATTTACTCAATGATTGGGTTTATTAAAGTCCAGAATTTACTTAAGACTACACAAACTCAAAACCAGAAAGCTGCTCTTTTTTTTTTTTTTGTGAGGGAGATCAGCCCTGAGCTAACATCCATGCCAATCCCCCTCTTTTTGCTGAGGAAGACTGGCCCTGGGCTAACATCTGTGCCCATCTTCCTCCACTTTATATGGGACACCGCCACAGCATGGCCTGACAAGCGGGGCATTGGTGCACGCCTGGGATCCGAACCTGAGCTGCCAGCAGCAGAGCGCACTCACTTAACTGCTACGCCACGGGGCTGGCCCCCAAGAAAGCTGCTCTTAAAGATAATCTTAATATAGGCTTCATAGACCACGCAGAAAGTGAGGCATCGGGACAGAAAAAGTCAACTGTTGGCAGTTACCTTTGTCACTGGAATAAGGAGCATGAACATTATTGCCGGGAACAGACACATTTTGGTGGTGTGGCTGGTTCACAGTTTCTAAAAATGAAACCAGATTCTCATGATGTGAAAGTTCTTCTGCGACAGGGAAGGAAACGATGTTCCAGTTCAACTGAGTATCTCCTTCTGTGAGTGCCCGGAAGAGAGAAGGGATTGGCTCATGAAGCTCCTCCACTGTGCTCTTTGAAGTTGGAGGTGTGTCACTATAATTTCGAGGATTACACATACCTGGGGGAGAGAGGCCAAGAGAATAAAAGTTTATTTTTCTCACTGATTGTAATGTTGTGAGATATTGTTAGTTATTGCCCTGCAATCAAAGCTCCAACATATTAAAATTATGTGACTTCTAACATTATACACAGATACTTTGCTAGTTTTTCTGGCTGAGAGGGCCTGGAAGCGATGACACCCCAACAGCAACAACCACACTGAGTGCCCAGTTTTTGTTTTCTAATACCTCTTCTCCACTAAGAGGAACCACAGCTCCTTAAAGAAAAGACTGATTTCAGGGCTAGGCAGGGAAAGTACAAAACAACTCTGGAATATCTTTTTGTGCCAGAAAGTAGGGAAGTGCTCAATAAATGATGAGACATGTTGAAAAAACACAAGAGGCAACCTGAAGGGGCTCCCACAGGCCAAACTGACAATTTTAACATTGAAATAAATAATGATAGTAATGGATTACCACCCTGTGAACAAAACAGAAATTGATGAGTCCTCATATTATAAATAAATGAATAAATAAATGGAGGAGAAGGGAAAGCTCTTCCTTTTAGTAGAGTGCTAACTGATAAACGTAGAAGGAATGAAGGAAATAGAAAATCACCACTTGGCAACCATCATCAAGGTGTTTGATTCAGATGGGAGTCATCAACGGATGCTAAGGCTGGTAGGAGGAGGTTTGATGAGGAACATATTGACGTACTCTTGGAAAATTCTCTACAAAATACTAATCAATTACAAAGGGGTTAATGGTGACTTTAATGTGGAAAGACCCAGCAGATACCAATGTAACCAGGAGTTCCAGGTTAATATCGCCAGTGATGGGACAGGGTGGTGCTGTGTGTCACCTGATGTAATGCATAGCTTCATTTCAGTGCTGATGTTGCCAAGAATAAGTGACTTAAGTATGGTCATCAGTCAACATCAAGTGGATCGAAGTTGAGGGTCATCCTACATAATGTTAAGGTCTGTACTCATTAAAACTGTCAAGGGATAGGCTAAGGGACTGTTTCAGATTGAATGAGTCCAAAGAGACAGGACAACTAAATGCATCACATATTCCTGGATAGGATCCTGAACCAGAAAGGAAGAAGAGATGCTATTGAGATAGTTGGTGAAATACGAATGGGGTTTGTGGGTTGAGTGGCAGTGTTGTGCCAATATTTGCTTTCTGATTTGGAGGACTGTATGCTATTTACATAGGAGAGAATGTTCTTGTTGTTGGAAAATACAGACTGGAGTATTTAGTAGTAATGGGACACCATATAAAGCTTGCTTTCTAAAGGTTCAAAAAAGGATGAATATCAATGAGCGTGTGTGCCTATGCACATTATAGTGTGTGTGTGTAGGGAGAGGGAGAGAGCAACAGGTACTAAGCAATGGAGCAAATTCAGTACAATGTTAGTAACTGGGGAATCTGGGTGAGGGGACACGGGAGTCTTTTTACTCTTCTGGAAAATTTTCTCTACATTTGAAATTATTTCAAAATGAACTATTTTTAAAAATAATTTTAAAAAGAGAAAATGGAGACTGACGTCAGTGTCATGGCGGAGTGAGCTTTCCCATAAACTCTCCACCCGCCCCCCCCGATAAGCTACAACAAAAGGAACAGTCACAGACCAACAACGGAATCCTAGACAGTGAAAAGCAGGATCGGAAAGATCCACACTGCCGCACATCTGAGAGTGGAACGTGCTGGGCCCCCCGGAGGAAGTGGGGAGAGGTAAGAACTCCTGTCCCTCCCCATCAGATCAGCGATCCCGGTCCGGCGGCTCCCAAAGAGGGGGGAGGGGCGGCCCTCTGCAGGGAAACGGTAGCTCTTCAGGCTCTCTCAGCCAGTGGGAAACTCCCACACAGAGGAATCAGAACTGCTGCAGGGGTGCCATCAACATCTGAGCACCCCAGAGAGCTGATAACAAGGGGTGAACGAGAAGCCCCCCATGCCAGGGACCCAGCGGGCAAAAGAGAGAGCTCCCCCCGCCCGCCCCACAAACCTGACCCTGCAGCTCAGCCGACCAAACCAGACCCAGTGACCTGCAGATCGCAGCGAACAGCCGGGGCAGAGCGCAGGGGGCTCAGATTACACAGCCCTTTACCCCCACACAG